CAGCTTGGTGTGTCTTATTATGTCAGTCCTCCAGCCTTTTTTTCCTCTGTTGTTCTATGCAGGGCAGAATCAATTTCCCCATTAAGGCATTGCGTTTATGTGGTAGGACAACAACCTTGCTTGATGTCTAGACTTTTCTGAAGCACACATGCAGTGATCTCAGTTCTCAAGGACCTGCATTTCCTTTGAGCCACTTAAATCCTTTCTATGCTAGTGGCCTTTAGTTCTTCTTAACATCGTATTGTCTTCAAACTGACTATATGATGATTCAACAACAAAAAAGGCTTTATTTTTGTTAAATTTCCAGATGTAACATTGCTCTTTCTAAACATATGTATAATCAAAAAATATTAGGATGTTATATTCATAAAATAAACAAGAAAGTTAGGCAGAGCAGATTATGGTAACAAAAGAGAATAAATGGAAAGCTTACCCCTATCCTGGGCTCACTCAGAAAACCAGCAAAGGCAATCTCCTGAAAAGATTCTTCCCCACTGGTAGCCAGCTCTTAAATAGATCTAGGAGAGGTGGAGCCAGGCAGCACAGCTGAATTGCCTTCACCTGTGCTCCTCTGGCTGACTCACTGCTCATCTCAGGTGATCAATCAGAGGTTCAGGCCGTGACTCAGCAGTTCCCATACAACATAGATATCTGAATAGTAAAACTAGGGTTCATTCCATTTGTACCCATCAGAAAAAGAAAGTATGAGTTAGCTGGGCTGTAAACTGTAGTTGTAGGGATCTGTTATTTGGTCGTGTCCAAAAACTGACCTTGGCCGTGTGCAGCAGTCATTATATAAACAAAACACAAAGTTGGCTGTTTGTGGCTGTGTATAGTGTTGTAGCAGGAGATCCTCTGCAGTTCTCCAGATATTGAGCACAGTTTCCTTGCAAAAAACGGAATGAGGGAAGAGAATGAGGGTTATACCGTGAAATACTAATGAGTACATTCCACAGAATGGAACACCTCTCCTATGAGGATGGCTGAGTGAGCTGGGGCTGTTCAGCGTGGAGAAGAGAAGGCTGTGAGGTGACCTGATAGCTGCCTTTCAGTATATAAAGGGAAGCTACAGAATAGAAGGGGACAGAATCTTTAGCAGGGTCTGTGGTGATAGAACAAGGGGAAATGGTTTCAAGCTCAAAGAGAGCAGATTTAGGTTGGATATAAGGAAAAAGCTTTTTACAGTGAGTGTAGTGAGGAACTGGAACAGGTTGCCCACAGATGTAGTTGATGCCCCGTCCCTGGAGACTTTCAAGATGAGGCTGGATCAGGCCCTGGACATCCTGATGTAGCCATGCTGTCCCTGTTCATTGCAGGGCAGTTGGACTAGATGGCCTTCACACGTCCTTTGAACTCTAAGGATTCTGTGATTCTAAATTATAAAACAGCAAATTTTCAGATACATTGATTTTATTGATTCTAAATATAGATGCATGAGTGGCTTTATAGCAGTTCTGTAAGTTTCTTCCAAAACTGGTGGGTGGAACTGAGTAGCATGTGAAGATGCTTATCTTTAACTGTGGTGACAGTGCTTAGCCCCAGCATGTACCAGTCAGTTAGCCTGCTTAGTTTGTGGTGCTCCAGGTTTCTAATGAAAAAGACATGAAAAGTACTGGTCAACAGAGAAAGGCATTAAGTTGGGTAGTAACTTTAGTTTTTAGCATGATTTCCTAAGAAAGTGAAGTGTATGCGCTGGAATTAGGTAAGAAAGAACAGACCAGTAATACTAGCTATCTTTGACAGAGTGGTTGCAATCAGAGAAATAGTAGTCTTTTAGATGTTTGATGAAAGTGGAGGGAAGGTCATACTTGATGCTTTTGAAAAATAGCTGCAACTTAAACTCAATCTTAGGAAACAAAAGAATATGCGTAAGGGAGTTGTATTGAATGCCCTAACTGTGCAAGGATCCTCAGTTGAATTTCATTGTTGTTTGGATGCCAGCAAACTCAGCCTTATGACACCACTCCATAGGAAGTCAGTTTTTCTCTAATCTGTGGCTCGCAAGTTCTTGCTCTCAATAAGAGGGAGAGAAATAAGACTGCGTATCTTTGTTTGTTGTCTCCAAGTGTTGCAGCATCCCCTAGAAGGACAAGAACAAGTTATGTTCTATAGCTATGAGGAGTGATTAAAAATATGTGGCTTAGGTACGGCAATTTCTGACTCGTGGAAGATCTTTCAACTGTGTTTTCTTTGCTAAGCAACAGTAGGCTGTATATTGCATCAAAAAGAATTTGTGAATCCACTGAGCTACACACTGTTTTTCTAATAACTGCTCAGCACTTAGGGAGGTGTCTGATGGGTCATGTTCTACTGGTAGGCTCTGTACACTGTCAGAATCCTGCCATGACTTTGAGATGTCTTAAGCAGCTCTTGATTGTGGTAATGAGATGGTTTGGGTAGGTGGCATTGAGAAGGGTGAGGGAGAAGTTGGAATGCTGCAAAGAGTCTGGCTGACTGAAAGACTCCTCCTGGTACCCAGGGGACCATCTGAATCCTGTTGTGGTGCCCTCATGTAAATTAGATGGAACCCCGTTCTGGAGGTTATCTTCTGAATATGCCCAATTTGCTGCTTCAGGCTGCACTCAAGATTGTCATTATGCTCCTATAACTGAAGTCTCATCACAGTTCCTTCTGGAGTGAAGTCTCTGCTCTGTGAGTGATGCTCTTTCAGATGCATGCAGATGTTGTCACTGTCGGTTGCACGGTTGGCAACGTTATCAGTCATGTCCTCTAAGCAAAACATGCTGCCTGGATTGAGTAGTGGCCGAAGAAAGTTTATCAATTCAGCTACCCAAACCTTAACAAAAGTAATACTTTTTGTCATACTAACAGGTTGCATTTGTATGTGGAGACATGGGGAACAGCATTTACTAAAAATTATGATGATGAATGTGGTTTTGAGCATGTGTGTGTTCTGTAAATGTTATGATCAGCCTCTTCACACATAATTCTTCAAGATTTTCTGATTGATACTACGCATAGTTCTCCATATGGACAACTCTGAATTCACAACAGAGAATTCAAAGCTTAACTCTGAATGTTTAGAAAAGATTTGCAGTGGAAGTGAATGTCTGCCAACAGTAATTCTGCTGAGAGATGATCATTCTCTGTGTTGTTTTGTGGTTTTGTTTCTTGTTTTTTGTTGGTTTTTTTTTTTTTTTTTTCTGGGAGAAAATGACAGCACTTCAGTGTTTAAAAATGTGAAAAAGTGCAGTTTGAAAGAATGAGAGTCTTGAACTTGATGCTTCCACTGTAGATTCTGTTCCTGTTGAAGTTGTTTGGATGGGAGACAGAGGATTGGGTTTGGTTTAATGCAGATTTCATTAGGTAACAATTTCATTATGGCTGGTACTGTTGGCTGCTGTTGGGATAGGGAGAGATGGGATGAGGGATGATGAGATGAGACCTGCAAGGACCTGAGGTGGCAAAATGGCATTTATTGCATCCAGAAAGGAAGCCGTTTGGTAGTCTCAGTGCAAGATGAGGGAAAAGGTTGTACAGAGTTGATGCTAAGATCTAAGTTTAAGCATATTCTTAATAAATGCCTTTTACAGTTAGTTAAAGGAAAGTGTGAGTACCTACACGTTTTTGATATTGCCTCTTCAAAAAGGCTGAGCTTGATTTGATTTAGAAGTAGTTGTTCTAGTGGAGGTGACAGTATCTGCAGTGTGTTTCCAGTTGCTTTATTACACCTTTCAAAATAAGACCAAATATGTGTTTCCATCTCCAAGAGCTGTTTTTTTTATTTAAAAATTATCTAAATTTTATGTCAATCAAGTCTTGAGTAATTGGGAAGATTATGAATGTGAAAATGAGCTTGACTACTGGAATCCAAATTAGAAATAGCAGGAGGTCTTGAACAAGCTGCCATTCAGTTTTGTCTTTTTTTCTTAGAGATTTCAAAGACATGCAAGAAATTGTTCTAGATGAAGTTTATTCATATGCACTGTCTTTTACAAAGGTTTTGCTTGACTTGAAGACTTTCTCTTGCTGGGCAGACCTACCCACACCCACCCCACGTCCTCTCATGTTGGTTCAACTCTCCTGAAAGAAAAATACCAGTGTTTTGAGAGAGATGAACTAATGAAACATCGAAAGATTCAAGGATGAAAGAGGCTGTTTGGAGTTGTTTGGGAAAGTTTCTGTGTTATCCTGAAATAAAAAGGACTGTAGAAACCTTTTGTATTGGTGCAAACTTCTGTACTTCTGTAAAAAATCAGTAGAGGGCAGAGTGAAACTTTGGTATGAAGGAGCCCAGCGTAGATGTTCAGCACTGCAAAGCCGGATGGAGTTCATGGTTAAAACGTAGAATAATGCTAGATATTAAACAGGCTGGAGCAGAAAGCACTACAGACAGCTGAATAGTCTTTTAGAAAATAGATAAAACATTCACACTTTGGATATGCTCAATTGTGTGCAAATTTGAGGTCTAATGCTTCTCCATATACAGGAGAATGGGGATACTACTGTCACTTTGACTGGATGCAGACCAGCTGTTAAGACTTCTGTTTGGCATTCCAGATCTACAATTCATCATGCTCACTGCATTATGTTCTCCTGCTTTACTTAATGACTGAACCCAATGTTCAGAGTTCATAAAGCTCTGCAAGAGCTTCTGTGCTACCCAAAGCAACTTTTGCTTGTGCTTGCCAATACTCAGAAGACTGTAGTAGCAGAGACTGCCATGTTTATAGGGACACTCTGTCTGTTTATTCTACTTTCTTGACCTCACTAGGTTACCAAAAACAGTACTAAGTCTGAGCGTGAGCTATAGTAGTTTGATGAAGTAAGAGTTTAAAAGTTTGCACTCACATTAGTGTTGACCTGTAGGAATGCAATACATTTAAAAATTAGAGCACAGCATTTGCTAAGGGAAAATGGGGAGGTTAGGCGTGATGGAGATGGAAATGTGAACTGGAAAGGATTTCTGAAAACACTGTTTGTGTCCTTTGCAAATTCTTCTGTGTACACAAAACACAGTCCTCCGAGTTTGCTTGATCTTTCTTTTTTTTTTTCTTCTTTTTTTTTGCTCTAAAATTGATAGGAGTATAAATTGATTTTGTAGAACAGTATCTTGGGAATGGAAAAAGCTCATAGATTTTCATTGGGAACTCTCCTGTGGTATAATTAATGTTCCGTTTTTAACCACTGTCAGAACAAGTGCTTTAAATCCATCCGTATTTACATATTGTGTCCAGAGTGTTTCTTGTAGAATGAGAAAATAAACCAGTGCAGTCTGTGTGTACTGTACCATCAATTCCCTTGGATTTCTCTGACCTCCTTAGAAAAGATCTTAGACTGGAGGTTTTGCTGTCTTAACACTACTGCCATTCTCACATTTTTGCTGGCAGCTCAAAACTTGCTCATTATGAAAGGATAACTGTTCTTAGTGAAATGATCCTATTTGGAAGCTTCATCTGACATCATCTGTGGCATCATTTCTCTTCCCAGAAGCAGATATCTGCAGTGCTCTTGCTGTATCTGTATCTGTCTGGCTTGTTGCTTAACTGTTTTCCTGACATCCCTGTTTATTGGGGTTTTGTTTGGTTTGCTTAACATGTAGGTAAGTATCCAAAGCCATCTCTGCGACATCTTGAATTTCTCCTGTCCTCAGAAACAAAAGCAAGTCTAATCTTTACATCCTAATAATCACTGGAAGGCAAAGATTTTGCTGTGCAAGTAGAGATTGGCTTCTCCTGAAGTACATCAGTTTTGTGCTGAAGCTGATCTAAATTACAAAAGTAAAAAAATTGCCTAAGCAAAACCTCTGGCACTGTAATGAGGAGCTGAGCTATGCTCAAGAGGCCATGGGAGCCACTCCCTTTATGTCAGAGGGCTTGTTGATCACTTGTCATGAGGCAGACTTCAGAAATAAAATGGATGTCCAAAAATCTCAAGCAGGAGTGTGTCCTGAACAGCCAAGATCTCTTCAGCTCCATTTACTGCCAGCTGGAGATACCACTAAATAACCAGCAGAACACTACCACGCAGAAGAGACCTTATCTCAGAAGTGTTAATTTCATAGTTTGTCATACTAGCATCAATTCAGTTACTCTGAATTGTTTGAAGTTACAGATTCTTACAGCAGAGAACAGCTGCATTTTTCATTAGATGTCACCATGTTAGTTTGTTCTTCTTACTCTTTTTTCTTGTTCCATATTTATGGTAAAGCTAATGGAAAAGCTAAGATGCTTCAAAATTTCTTCCCTTTGCCCAGTTTTTATACAGTGTTCCACCAGCTTTTCCACCTCGGTGTTTGAAGATTTTAGCTTCTTTCTTTTTCTGTGCTCTTGCAGCATCATGCAATAGCATGGAAAACAAATAATGGAATTAAATGCAATTAAGAAAGAACTTTTCAGAAGTCATCCAGTGCCATTGTAGATAACATTTGTGTTACTGTCCTTTCTTAAAATCTAAGGGGTTTTGAAAACCGTAAGTTACAGGGGCAGTTGTACAACTCATGTAACTAATTATTTTCTTGAGGAAAGTATTGTACTTAGAGAATAAAATAATGCCTCAAATCCATAGGCTGACACTTTTTTTCTTTTCCTGCTGCGTGTTGAGTGTCCAGGAGCCTGGAAACTTCCTCGCACTAATCACGTCTTAAAGGATAGATTGCCCTGGATGCCTATTGTGTTTTGGAAGGATGAAACAACTACAGTTCCATATCCAGACACCTGTATTGTATGCTATGGGTAGTCTGTCTTGTTTAAGAGTTGTTTGCGGTGCTGAGCAACGTAACGTAATTAAAATACTGCAGTTGAGCAGCTGTATCCACCACCCTTTTAACAGTACTTGTTAATTAAAGTCAATTTATAAGGTGTGTGCTATATCATTTTATTAATTTGCCTTTCCTACATGCTGCTCTATCCATTGCAGATATAGCACTTTTCCTCTTCTAGGCTCATAGTGCTACTCGACATTAGTGTCATCCTCAACTTACACTTCAAAGGTCTCTTCTGTGTTCAGATATGTAAAATAAAACAAGTCCCTGTAAGACAGTAGCATCTCTTGGAAATTTCCAACTGTTCTATTCTCTCAAATGTAAACCCTATTGCATCAAAACCTCTATTTAGGCATGAAGTATCTAACAAAAAGCTTTTTAAAGCAGACAAAAAGAAAGTAAGATGGTTCTCAGAATGTTAGCTGGAGTATACTCTCATATGTGCCTACAAGGTTCAGGACCTTTTTAGGATCTACCCCAGAGAACTTCCCTTTGGTTAGGCAAGTCTTACATCCTGGAGAACAACCCTGTAGTTGGTGAGCTCCAGGTCCATCTGCGGATAAAGAAAGAACAAAAATGGCACAACAAGTCTTGGCAGCGATCCTTTTTCTTCCCCTGCTTTCAGCCAGTAGTGAAGTTATGGCTGTTGTTGAGTTTTAAGCACGCTTAATTCCCTCAGCAAAGTTCCTGCAACTTATTTACCCATCACAGTGAGCCACTGACTGACGAGTGTTGAACACACTGAGGTGACCCCACTGCTTCCTCCTGTTGAGGGGAATTTTAAGAATTTTGAGGGTTTTTTTTTTTTTTTTTTTTTAAGTCCTTGAACTTGGAATGAAACACTAATTCAGAGCCCAGAAACTTATGCAGGAAAAAAAAAGCCCTACCATTGGTTTGTCAGTGTCCAAAATGGAATCCACACAGGTGCATCTTCAGTAAGCAAGGTTTCAGACTGACCAGAGATCTTAATAGCATCTGTTGGCTGTTCTTTGTATCTTCTCTAAATGTGTCTTTTTTTCTACTTTGGCAGAGTTGTCAATATGTTCAAGACATGTATTTGAAAGGAGGGAACTATTGGAAGAGCAGCAATTTTTGAAGATAAAATATTTTCCTTTTTGTTGCATATTTGAAAAGCAATAAAGGCTATGTATGAGTTCATTTATTTTAAACCACGGTTTATATTATGAATTATTTACCATTTTCAATAACCTAGATGATTTAACTATGAAAAAACCTGATTAAAATGTATATAAAGGCTGTAGTAGGTGAAGGAGATGCAAAGATGACTGTGGAGCTTAAATAAACTTGAACAATTTCTAGTTTGCATCAAGATTTACTAAGGTAGTTACGCACCTAAAAACATCAGGAAGATTTGCATGTTGTAACATAACTGACTTAGCTGGCATTAGTTATATAAAATCAATTGGAGCCATTTTTCTTTTGTGGGAAGGAAAGTTGGTTGTTCAGTAGTTTGCTGTTACAAGTTATTATGCATACCAAACAAAATTCCTGTTTTGTTTTATGCAGACCCTCACAGTGGTTCTTATAAACTTTCAAGAGTAACTAATAAATCGTAAGGCTATAAGAGGATGATCTGCAGTTTTAAAACGTTCTTTGTGTTGTAACATTTGAGATTACAGGGATTATTTTGTTCCTAACTATGATTTTTTTCTCTTAGTTCAATACCGTAATTAATTTTAATTATGTTGTGTGTGGTATCTCTTTAAGAGCATCCCATTATCACTAAAGCACTCCGGTCAGGTCTTACTACATCTGTGCAGGTTGGAAGAATCACCTGAGATACCAGTTACTCCTAAAAATGAAGTAACTTCAACACCTGTACCATATTGTGCAGATGAAGCAGTAGGTGTCACTAAACATCTTAAAAATGGTTTCAGGCAGCAGAATGAGCATTGAGGGGCTCAAAGGGGATATTTTATTTCAGAAGTGAAGAGGTGAAATCTAACAGGATTTGCTTAATTCTAGAAAATAACCATTTCTGTGAAAGAAGATGGGAAAACCTTCTGAAGCAGAGGAATAGGAAAAGAGAAAACTTCAGAATTAAGTAACACTGAGCAATTGCAAATCAGTTAATTGGAATGGAATTTGTTTTCAATTTCCCTATTGTTTCTTCTCTGCAGAAACCTCAGCCCCATTTCATCAAGATGCAAAGGAGTGTATTACATACTGCTTCTCAGCTGGCCCATGGGATGTGTTTGTTGTTTCCTCGCACTGGTGCCTTTCATGGCTTAAAAGGACCATCGGTGGCATCTCATGTTGGATGCAGAGTGAATTTGGCACTGGACCCTCCTAAACGATGTCTTCATGCAGGTGCAGCACTCTTTGCCTCAAAGAGCAGCACTGTTTCATCACAGCCAGCAGACACTCCTAGGAAAGCACCAGAAGAGAGAGAAGCTTTGACTTCAGCCACTGAAGTACCCAAGCAGAGCCCTGTAGAGTCAGATGCTTCAGATCCTGATCCGTTACAAGACAAATCAATTAGCCTTGTTCAAAGATTCAAGAAAACTTTTAAACAGTATGGAAAAGTCATGATTCCCGTTCATCTTGTGACTTCCACTGTGTGGTTTGGAACCTTTTACTATGCAGCCATGAAGTAAGTTGATATTTTGTTGCAGTGTGCAGTGCTGCTATTTAATTGACCTGGACTTTCACAGGTGAAAGGATGTAAGTTATTAATCTGTGCTAAAAAATGCCTCTGTACATGATAGAGAAATGAGGCCACATTTTTACCTGAAGCATAAGATTAATACTGAAAGAATGTAGGGCTCATGAGCTTGTTGTGTACTTAATGTTTTCATGCAGTGACTGCTGTATACTGGGTGTGCATTTGTTGCATTAGGAAATGTAGTATTTGCAAGAATGTAGCTCTCCCCGAAATATGCATGGATATAAACAGCATTGAAATGATTAGTAAACTTCCACCAGATATAAATTTGGAGATTTGGAATCCCAATTGAGTTGTTAGATAAAATCTTTATAGACCTGTTCTTTGCCTTTGGATTTGAAGGATATTTCACCCCTTCCATCTCCCTTCATCCCCAGTCTTCTCCTATGACTGGATTTTTAAATCTTTTACCTCACTCTGAGCTCCTCACAAAATATACATCTTTCCTTTTTTATTTCTGCTTACTGTCTTTCCCTTCCTCTACTGAAAAAAGTTACTCTAAGTCTGTAGCACAGACTTTTAATTGGAAAATTAAGTTGTGTGGCCAAAAAAAAAGTCCTTACATATTTCTAATTTAAACTTCTTTAGTGTGGGACAGGTAATGTTTTGGAAAATGGCATTTATTACAAAGAACTACATCAGCTAGGAACTATTAGTTCAGATGAAAGAGCACTGTCTATGTGGAAATGGTTTGCTAAATATAAGTAAATGTTTATCTCTGGATTGCTAGTGTTGCATATTTAATAATAGAACATATGAAACAATGACATTTTCTAGTGGCAAGGATGGGGCTTTGACAACAGAATGCCCTACCACACAAGTGTTTGTTTTAGTGACTCTAACCAGCTGGCATCATTGCCCTTTCTAGGAGCTATAGATCCAAATGTCATTCTAAGTTTAGCTCACGTTGGAAGAATAAAGGTCTGGAGCTATTAAAAATACTTTGCTTTGGATGAATCCAAGTTGATACTCACATCCAGGCTTTTCAAGTTTGTTTTCTTGAAGTGCTTAGGTTAGCTGCTAAAATACATATTTAACAGATGAAAGCAGTTGAAATATTTAAGTAGGAACTAATCATAACAAAACTGATTTGTTGTGCTACAGGAGTAGCACTCTCTTGAAGTAGAAGAATAACTTTCAGAATGACTGCTCATGGTGCATGACTAAATGGCCATGGTTTATTTAACAGCATTGATTAACACTGTCTTTTAGGTCTTAGTAGATCTGTTTTCTTCTCTGGAATGAGGCCTTTGTTGATTCTGGTAACTGTTAGAAAATTCCTGCCTGATACTGTTCCTGATCCTGCTGCTAAAGTGATCACATGCATAGAGAAACACTTAAAATGCTGGAAATAGTAGATAGAAATTGATGATGATGCTAATAATACAACATTTCTAAATTTGGGGAAGTGAGGTATCAGATCTATAACTGCACGTAGCTTTCTTTTACAGTGTAAAGGAGGACTGCCTTTTTTTTTCCCTGTTCTGGTGCTGATATAATTTCTCTGATTTTCAGATAGAAAGACATTATAGTAAGAGCTCATTGCACCCATGCCGCCACCTCGTATTAACCAGTACTAACCAGATAGAACAGATGAGCACAAAAGCCCTGCAGTCTTGTGCATATAACATTTGCATCCTGTTGCCACGTTCCATTTGTTTCATTTAAAAGTGAAGGGAGGACACTGAAATCTGGGCCCTCGACTTGTGAGCAGATTAGTCTGAGGTTTCAAAAGGGGAAAAAAAATATTTTGGACTGAACAGAACTTGTACAACTGGAACCTGAGCAGCTGCCTCAGAACCTACTCTATCTGTGCACCTCCAGATGTAGTAAGCTGGAATGCAGGTTAGGTTTGCAGCTGCTCAGCTCAGCAGGGTAATGTAAATGGGCTGCCTCCTGGTGGAATGCTTGGGGAGGGGGGAAGCAACACATTAATTTACCAACACATACAAAACATAAGTGCATTGTTTGTATGATTGAGTTTAAGAATGGAAATGATGCTCTAGACCACTGTTTGGGTTTCGTATGCCATCCTTTTCATTTTCAATTATTTTTTCTCTTTGGTAGAGGAGTGAATGTTGTTCCATTCCTAGAGTTGATTGGCTTACCAGACAGGATAGTAGACATCCTGAAAAATTCCCAGAGTGGAAATGCACTAACTGCATACGCACTGTATAAAGTAAGTATTTTAATGGTTTGCAAACAAGCTCTATATCTTGCCTAGTTAAATAAGTAGTGTGTATTTGTTTAAATCAGGAAAAAAATATTGCTGTTTTCTCTCTTTGATAGTTGGACACGTTTCAGCATTCATTTCTGTAATGCAAACAGTTACATGCAAGTTAGTACGAGCCCTGTGTTCATTGAAAGAGTCTGTACTTCTAAAATAACTTTCTTGCTGCAGGATGATTGTCTTCTCTCAGAGATCTAATTACAATTAAGCTAGTCCTCTGTATCCCTGAAATAATTAACAGGGATAAAGAAGTAAATTTCAAATGCTTTATGATTTCCAGATGAGCGTAGGTGGATTTTTTTATTATTATTTTTATTTTTTTTAATATTCTGGAGGTGAATTGATTTGTCTTCCTCCATTGTTGTCAAGTACTTTCACTGTCCACTCGAATCAATTACTTAGATTTAGGTTTGGGTCTCGTTTAATTGTTGTATGTGCAAAGTCTGTTTTAGGGAGCCAGAAATATGTCAGACAATGCAAAAACAAAGTAATGTATTCACTTTGAATGCCACTCATCGGTTTCCTTTCCAGATGTGATATGCTGCTTATCTGTCCTTTTAAGGCCCCTCCCACCCCCAACTACATGTGAAAGCATTACTCTTGCCAATTGCTCCTGTGCCTGAAAGAGGTCAATAAAGAAATGCGGTTAAAGACAAAGGTTTTATTATAGATGTGAGATTTGGCAGACGTGAAAGCGCTAGAATAAATTGCAAAGAGAAGATGATACATCGATCTTTGAAGTCCTGAAAGAACAAGTTTGTTTAAACTTTCTAGGATAACAAACCTGGTCATTGTGTGCTGGGCTAGCTGACTTCTTAAGGTCTCTCTTAGCTTTGGCTTTCCATAAGCGGGTCCTAATTTTTAGACTAATTTTGGACTCTTGTGGATTTTAGAATTCAAAGCACACCCTGTTAGTATTTCTTCTTTGTTTACATATAGCTCAGTGCTCACGTGCTGCCTGTTCTGTACTGCATTCTGAGGCAGTTAGTGCTCTTTCTACAAACTGCTTAGGGAGGTTTTTTAAAATGCAACTCTGATGCCTGTGCTGGTTTGTCAAAAGGATACTTAAGTAGGAAGTATGCGTTTCTGCAGCACGTGCTGTGAATTGTTTTATTTCTTAACAAACAGAAGATATTTTCAGTATCTGACACTGGTCAATGTACATTGTTAATATTAAAAATACATTCTGCTTGATAGTACTGTCCTGTTTTATTTCTTTAAGATTGCAACTCCTGCCAGATATACTGTGACTCTGGGAGGAACATCCTTCACTGTTAAATATCTGCGTAAGAATGGCTACATGTCCACACCACCACCAGTAAAGGAATATCTACAAGATAGGATGGAGGAAACAAAGGATAAAATCACAGAGAAAATGGAGGAAACAAAGGATAAAATCACGGGGAAAATGGAGGAAACAAAGGATAAAATCACGGAAAAGATTCAAGAAACCAAAGATAAAGTTTCGTTTAAAAAAATAAAGGACTAAGAGATGCTTAATTTTTGGAGATCTCTAACTTAGCACTTTAACCTTTTTTGAGGCAGGAGATACAAAGTGCACTTCTGACCTTTCTTGAGTTTTTTTTGTTGTTTTGGTTTTTTGTCTGCAGACTACAGCTTCACTGTGGATATAGAATTATGTATATTCTTGAAGGCTGAAGTTTCCTGGGAGAGATAAATTGTGACAAAATTTCAATTAACAGAAGCAAAAATAAGTTTCACATGAGAAGTTCACATCCAGTGGTAATAGTGTCAACAATTACATCTCAACCCTCCCCCCCCTTTTTTTCTTTTTTCAAAATGAAGATGATTTCATATTAAAGCCACTGCTTTACTCCTCCATCTTAGTGCACAGCCATTATCCCATCGGACTGAACCTTCCGATAAGTGAGAATGGAGATGTCTCTACTGGAGAAGAACACTTATTTTGTATTTCTAAGTGTAATCTCAGACCTCCTTAATCGTGATCATCTCTCGACGTGGAGACAGACCATTGTCACTGATACTGCACATGAAGAAAAGAACGGATTAGTTACTCACTGTAAATGAATTCATAACAGCTACATGGACTTCAGCTGATCTGTGACAGTTCACAGTTTGGGACGGCTACAAACCTTTCTTGGAAAGTGCATCTTTTCAGAAATCTCAACTGCAAACTATAGGAAGATGAGTTAATCACAACAGCCATACTGTCAACTATACTGTCTTTTTCTAAAGTTGATTTTCAGTAGGAAGTTATTACAATGAATCAATTATTGTATATTAAAAACTTTTTAGTTTTTTATTATGTTGAAGTTTACAAAACTGTTCTATTATTTCATGGTAGTCCTATAGCAACAAAAAAAAGAATTCAGAAGAGAGGTTTACTCAAATAATAGGTATACTAATGGAACTTTTTAAATACATGCAAAGTTAGAGTTAAATCCCAAAGTTTCTTTTCCTATCCAAGAATCTCTTGGATGTCTGTAGTACAGTTTAGCTTTCCTGAGACAGTGATTGCAGTCTAGCAGAAAACTCTACGTTTTCTTACATCAAGCAAATACTTGTTTGTACTTGAAATGCTGAAAGGACTAAAGGTGAAACTGCTCTATTTGACTAAACTGGCGAGCTTCTCTCTTAGTTCTACTCAAATTTTAGGCTGAACTGAGTGGATTTTTTTCCTGTTTCTGTAATGGCCCTCACTTCCTAGTAAATCTCTGCATGTGCATTTTGCTTAAAGATGTTGGGGTTTTTTTGTGGGCTTGGTTTTTTTTGTTTGGTTGTTGGGTTTTTTTGTTGTTTTTGTTTTTGCAGGGAGATAGATAAGTAAAGCAGCAGAGTTGGACCCTAAGCATTGTAACTAAGATAAAAGAAAATAACTGATAAAGTATCATTTCTACCCCACTCTTTTACTTTGTCAGCGAAGTCACCAAGAACCTGTCCATTTTTAAGTCCGTTGAACTTCATTAACTCAATTGTGCAGGATTGATTGCGTACTTCTCTGCCTCTGTCCATGTGTCAAAATAGTAACTGCAATCTAATGCTTACCTCACAGGGCTGTTGTGAGGAATAATCATTGTATATTCAGTGTCCTGAAGATGTAAAGTGCCACATTTCTGACAAATACTATTAAAAAGGAATTCTCTCTAACTGCAAGCTCTTGAGAGTGTTGAGGTGAGTACTACTTTAGAATTGGAGTTGAGATACTTCTCCTCCTCCTCTTTTAGTGTACTTTTCCTTACTGTCCTTGAACATGCTTTTCTGACCTAGACTGGGAAAATGGAAAACTGGGGGTGGGGGGGGAAGGCAGCATTGTACTGTGCATGGCGTGGTCTGGGGCCGGAGGCTGGGACATTCAGTGCCAGTTGTGTTTCAGCTCTTCCCTGCACCAGGCAGGAGCTGCACAGGGGCACTGTGCTGCCCACAGTTGGCACACATGTGATGGCAGTGTGCCTTAATGTGAAGCAGCCTCAGGAGGTGCATGTGGTAGCACAGAAGGAAGAGATGCAGGTGCGGTGGCTTGGGAAAGAGAAAGGTTTTGTGATTCATCCCCTGGAAGGAAGAGGAATTGTCCTTGCCTCTTTCCAGAACCATCAAAGATCTGATGGGACCAGGGTGAAGGAATTTGCTGCCATACAGGCAGTGGAGAAACTGCTGCTTTAGCGACTTCCTCAATTTGTGCCTTCTTTCTCCCTCATATACAGCGATCCTGTAGAGCATTACACTGACTTTGCTGCTGATAAGCATGAATGTGAGGGTTCTGAGTGGCTGCTGGAGCAGGAGTTGGAAATGAAGTTGTATCAAGCAGGATCCACAGCAGCAAACAAGGAGGACCTGGATCTGAAGTTAAAGCCTGAGATGAGGCGGGAGCCAGAGTGGTGCCAGAGCCATAGTGGCAGCCCAAAAAGCAGCCAGAGTTCTAGTGGCCCATGGTGAGACTGAAGGCATTGCCCAAATAAAGGCTCGAGGCAAGTTCAAGCCAAAATCATAACCTGACAAGTTTCCAGAACTGAAATAGCAGCCTGAGCAAGATCTAGGGGTGAACTCATATCCCAAATATACCTGAGCAGAATCAGAGGCCTGTGTAAGATTCAGGGAAGTCATAGCTCAAGATGGAGTCAGAACAGAAGTTGTGAGCCAAGCACAGGCCAGAGCCAAAGATGGGACCAAAGCCAAAGTCACTTCCCGAGAGGGAATAGCAGCTGGAGCCACAGCACCCACTATTGGGCCAGGGCAAAAGTCAAAGCTGGAAATGAAGCCACAGATATGGGGCCGAAGTTTGTAACTGAAGTTGCTACCAGGCCTAGCCAAAGCTGCACAGTGAGCTTGTTGCTAAAGTAGCAACCCAGTGTCAGGCTAGACCTGAAAGACGGAGGTCCAAGGTGGTGGCTGGAGCTTAAATCATGGCCTACAACTGGGATGGGGCTGAAGTTACAGGCAGAAGTGGGGTCAGACCTGAAGTCTTGCACCGAGTGTCACAGTCTGGTGACACAGTGACAAAGTAGAGCCCAATATCAGACCAGGCTGGATCGGAAGAAGCAGCCAAAACATGGACCAGATGTGCAGTAGCCTCCTGGGCAGAAGTTGCAGCCCAATAGCAGGCTAGAGGTGAAGCAGCTGCCTAAGATGATACTGGAGGCACCGTAAGAGCCCAGACAGGAAACAGTGACAGAGACAGGAGGACCCAATCCAGACAGGACTTCAAGCTGTGCCCCAAGCAATGTTCGAAGGCAAAGTCTCAGCTGAAGGGAGGACTGGAGCCAAAACAGTCAAACAAGACCAGAATGGGGTGGGTCCTGAAGTCACAGTCCATGAGGCTGGGGCAGAAGCCAAGGAAGACCAAGCAAGGGCCAGAGTAGACGTGAGTCCCTCCAGAGAGTGAAGCCAAAGTCACAATCCAGTATAGAGGTAGAGCCAAAGTCACAGTCTAAGTGGTAACCCAGTATCAGGCCAGAGCAAAAGTCATGGCTTTGGATGAGGAAGAACCAAAGTCACTGCAAAGACAGAGGCCAAAGCTGCATTAGCTTTCTGAGCAGGGACTGGGATAAACATTATGGCCTGATACCAGATTGAAGCCGAAGTAGCAGCCCAAGATAGTACCAGAGTTGAATTTACAGCCCCAGATGGAGCTGAAGCCACAATCATAATATAAGACAGGGCTAAACCTGAAACTAAGACAGCACTGAAGTGAAAGACAATCAAATCATGGCCCACAGCTGCACCAGAGTCACAGCTGTAGTCCATGATGGGGCTGCAGCTGACATGGCAGCTGAAAGTAGAATTTGCTGCAATGTTATGACCCAAGGAGGGAATTAAGCTAAAGAAGCGGTCCAAGATCGGGCTGAAGTAAAATTTGCAGCCCCAGATGGGGTGAGAGAAAAAGTCACAGCCCAAATAAAGGCTGGAGCTTGAAGAGGAGCTGACACCCACAGACCACTTGGGATGGGATTTCCCACTGGCAGGTATCAAGCACACCCATATCCCTGTCCTGGGCTGAGCTGTGAGTCAGACCCAGGAGAACTCGCCACACAGTCCTTGTGGGTACCCTCTGGCTCTTCATGGATCCTGCTGGCTTTTCTGGCCATAAATACGTGGTTCCATACCCTTCAATCACAGCATAAGGGCTAGATGGGGAAGCACCTATGCCACAGCCACTGAGAAACTCTCCAATGGCCTGAGAATCCTAAAACCATAAGATATCCTGAGTTGGAAGGTTAGAGGGTACAGCTGGCCTTGGGGCTGCCAGAGCACACTGCGGACTTGTTCACCTTGCCATCAACCACAACACCTAGGACCCAGAGGGTCTGTAGCCATTGGAGAAAATATTTGAGAGATTTCCCCTCCCTTGCCTTGGAGAACAGGGTTGGAGCTGCTGGAGGGGCACTCAGTGGTGGCAGAGAAAGTCCCTGGCCCCTGGCAGCACGCTGCAATCCAGCAGGGCACCTGCCACGTCATCTCCTGGGTCACTGCTGTCCATGTGACCATCCTCATCAAAACACATTTCTGATTGTGTTCCTCATGGGTGTCAGCTTGGAGCACTGAGCTGCATTTGTCCTTATTCATCACTTACCGTCAGCAACAATAATAATTAGAGAGCTGTAATTATCCCCTGGCAGTTATCTGGCTATTTTGATGAAGATGATCTTCTAAGTAGAAAGAATACATCTTGATTTCATAAGGCCACAGGGCAACATGTAGCATTAAGTTTGGGTTTGAGTTTAAGCAATTGACTGGACAACTACAGGGGAGGGAACCCAGGGAAAGATACACAGGCTTTTTTTGAAGTTTTTTAAAAAAAAAAAAAAAAAGGAAAAAACAAAACGAAAACAAACTAAATACAACTGGGTAAAGTTTCATCAAAAAATGAAAGAGGAGAATGTTCAGGTTGGATATTAGGAAGGCTTTCTGCTCAGAAGGAGAGGTAAAGCACAGGCACAAGTTGTCCAGGAATGTGGTAGAGTCACCACTCCTAGGGGTGTTCAAGGAATGGGTGGATGTGGCACTGAGGGACATGATTGGTGGACAATATTGGTGGCAAGTGGATTGCTGACTAGATCATATTAGAGGTCTTTTCCAACATCAGTGATTCTGTAATTACATGAAATATTTCTAACTGCTGCTTTGGCTAGCCAAGTGGCCTATCTTGTGAAACTGGGGACAGTGGTGGTTGTGCCAGCATCCATCCCTAAAGGTGAAGGCCTGAGTCTTTTCCATTTCCATAAAGAGCAGACCCATATGGGAAAACAGATGTTCCCACAATATCCCATGTCCCAGTCAGAAGTAACTGACAAGCTGTGTGGCAATTGCTATGAGTTGTAGCCCAGAGCGGCTCTCCACTTCTTCAGTGTTATTGTCAGATGGTGATTTTAGTCTGCTCAGTATCATTTACCTGTTGGGGTATAGTTTTAGTTGAGATGAAAGTGTCCATTTCCCCTGGCATATGGCTTGAACCAGTGTGCATGTTTTCTTATCTGCAAGATAGTATTGGTGGAACATGAAGCATAATCTAAAAAGGTGAGAGGACTCGCACAGAGCAGCTGATGCAATCACTCAGCCATACAGCTTTCAACGTGCACCAGTGCACCTCTCACTGAGAAGCTGCAGCAGCTAATGCTGCACCACTGACCCTCTAAAACACACACAGCTGGACTGCAAAGCCAAAGGGGGCCAAAGTGGCCAGAAGAGCAGTTTTGCAGTGGCCAGCCGAGCCCTACCCGTCAGGTTTCTCCAGAGGGAAAGACACCAGATCATTGGCTTTTTCAGGCAGCTGTCAAGTTTGCAGCTGGAAACAAATTGGAAAGCACTTACTTAGACTCCTAACCCAATTGTAGGAAAATAAACAGCTCCTATACATTCAGCTGTTGCCATAAACCCTTCTGAAAGGGTATGAAAATGCGTTAATGCTTTCGATTTGGCTTATATGGCTTCTTCACCAAGTGAAGCCAACTAGGGCAAGCTTGGCTCAGCATATGAAAGACTCAGAGACTGCTAACATAATTGCACATGTATGCCTATGCAGGGAGACATGTGATAAACTGTAACATTCTGAGAGCTTTGAGGACAAAACTAGTTTGTTGGTTTTTTTTTTCCTCTGGGAGTTTCTTGCTGTCTAGGGTTAAATGTAGGTCAAGCTGTCTGAGCCATGTCTGTGGCACACAGAGTGGGATTAAATCGGAATTTTTCCACTCAGCTCCACTGTCAATCACTGTAATGTCTGCAAATGTTAAATTAATCTGGAGTGAGCTGGCAATGGCATTGAAGGGAGCTTCTTGGGCTCAAGGGTGACATTTTGGCCTCCGTGGAAAAATTGCCTTCTCTCTCCAGGCAAAGGGTGGCTGCGTTCCGACAGCTTTTTTTAAACCCTGAAATTACCAGCGAAACCCAGAGAGATGATAGCTCTGTACAAGGCAAAAGCACACAGATGGCAGAAGGAGCGGGGAGAGAGAGCACCTGACTGCAGGTGGGACTGCAAGCGATGGAGGTGGGGAGATGGCTCTGCACTGTGTGCTGCCCTGTCCCTCTCCATGCATCTTTAAAGCAGCATTAGCACCTCTGTGCAAAGCTCTTTGTAGCAGAAGCCTGTTACTGAGTACAGAGTATTTTGCAGTAAGGATCTGCTGGTTTGCAGGTGTTACAAAGGACAGTGAGCATTCAGCATTGCCACTCCACATGCAGTCCGTAAATCCTCTGGCATCCAGCATGTTGCCTTTATCACAGTGTGAGTCCAGCACTGCTGTGCATCCCAGAGTCCTTCCAACTTAATTAATATCTAATGGTGATTTGTAGCACCCAAGGTAAGCAGAAGCAGGCAGTTAACCAGCACTAAGTACAGTAGGTGATTTCTCAAATGCTAAGGAATGTTCTGGGAGTAACTGATGTTGTGAACTGTATGGGATACTGAGAAACGTAACTCGTCACTTTGACTACATGGAAAAGAATGGGCTAGCTCAGCTCTAACCTCTGCTCTCAGGAGTTATCATTTCATACTCTGCCCAGGAAAAAAAAAAAAAAAAGTAGAAAACAAGCCAAAAAAGAAAAAATCCTTCAAGTTTTTATTCTTTCCCAGTGCTGGAGTTGTGTGGAAGTGGCACAATGCACGTGGAACAAAAGCTGGGCATCACTGCAGCAGAAGCAAGTGATGAGAACTGGATTCAGCAGTGAGGTTTTTAAAATGTGCATTTTAATTAGAACTCATTTAAAGCACGACCGATCAAAACAGTGATAATGAGAGAAGCCTAATTAATTTTTGTCTAAGCAACCGAGCCTCATTATAGAGCGGTCTTGGGGAAGAAAAGGGTTTGGAGTGGTACAACCAGGGTGTTTGTAATGAGAGGCAATACTGCGGGGAGCCTGGAAGCCAGACCAAAAGGTTTCATAGGACTGCAGCAGCCACTGTATTAATCTTTAAACAGGAAAAGTAACCCTACTGAGATGAGACATCCCATTTATAGCCAAGTTCTGAGCTGCAACCATTGGCAAAGATATTAAAACACAATCAAAGAGAATGGCATATTATAAAACAAATATAAATACAATTAAAACCAGATTAAGTAAAAGATCAAAGCAGTCTCAAAAAAGCAGTTTCCAGGGAGTTCAGGGTTCAGACAGCAGAGGAGGAGCAGACGCTCAGAGGTCTGGAGCGCTTCTAAGCGCTGAGGCCCCAGCTACTTTCTAAGCACCAAGGAAGAATTAAAATGCTGTGGAGGGGGAGATGCCAACTCTGGGTGGTTATATGGAAAGAGAACTGTTACACTTCTAAATGGTGATAGCAGAAAGTGCTGCAGCATTTAAATAAGGAAGCCATTTGTAGAGAACAGCAGAAAGCTCCTGTCCAAAGGCAGCCCAAGGGCTGCTCCTGAAGGAGTGTGTCAGAAGTGAGCTGGTGCATAATCAATGGATATTAAGATGTTATAAGAGAGTTAGGCAAAATAGACTAGGATAATAAGGAGAATAAATGGAAGGCTTACCTGTATGTTAGGCTCACCTACAGAAAGCACCAGAAGAAGGGACCTCCAGACAAGATCCTTCCCCACTGGTAGCCAGCTCTTAAATAGGTCTAGGAGAGGTGCAGCCAGGCGCCACCCCTTCCGGCAGCACAGCTGAATTGCCTTCACCTGTGCTCCTCTGGCTGACTCATGGTTCTCCTCAGGTGATCAGAGGTTCAGGCCGTGACTCAGCAGTTCCCATGCAGCTGGGGATGCACAGCCCCCTCAGCAGCCTCTTCTCCACACACACTGCCCCCTGCTTTGCAGCACCACCTCCCTCTAGGCATCACTCTCCAAAAGGAATCAGCAAGCACAGACCCGAGTACAAAACGTAGCCCAAGACAAGGATTACATTAACAGTCATGCTACATGAAGCATCACGTTATACTTCAACACAAATAGAAGTTAACTGCTCACTTCTTATGTTGTTAAGCATTCCAATAGTGAAGTGAGAGGCACCACCTGTTGACAGTTGAATTTACCTTCTATTACCAAGGATTTGTGCTTTTCCCCTGCATGAACCATATCCTGTATTTTTGCTTTTCAGTCAGTTTCTTCAGCTTCATGGTTGGGCACTGCCCACCACTTTCTGGGCCAGCACTGCCCTGCCAGGGGCAGCCACGACACTGGGTGCCTGCAAGGGGATCAAGGCGGTGTTCCTAGCCCATGTTTCAAGGACTGAATCCCCCCTCCGACTCCTTAATGATCAGCTACCAGCTTGAGAGCAGAAAAGCAAGGACAAAAAAGGACAAGCGTTTGTTTTACAGAATGTCACGCTGGTGTTTCATCCCCTTTTCCCCCACTTCACAAAGAAATTCAATAGGAGACAAATGCATTTCATGGTTTTTAATAATTCTGTGCTATGGTTAAACCACAGCATATTAAGAACAAGCATAAAATCTGTATTTAAAACTAACAACAGCACTTAGAGCAACATCTTCCTTTAAAAGTATTGCAATAACAGACCTTAGGTCTAAAAACTAGGACATCACCATTTGCTCAATTAAAAGAGTCAGATATACAACAGTTGAAATCTTTTCCTTTATATAACCGGGAGTTATGGTGGAAAATAAGCAACAAATTAATTGTGTTAAAAGGAAAATAAGGTAAAAAAAAAAACCAACAAAACAAAACAACAAAACTTAAAGCAAACCAGGTTTGTCATAGTGTCACATGACAACTATTGAGAAATCCCAATACAGTTGTAAAAAAAAAAAAGTACTGTTTTTTAATAGATTTGTTTTTACAACAATAAAATTTAAAAGAAAGATTAAATATTGTTGATAGTGCTGTACATATTTCAGAATAACTTGAAACAAAATGGACAGAAATAAGAGACGCTGAAAGTGTGATCTTGAAAGCCACAATGTTGGAAATACAAAAAAATCCATACAGCAATAAAGCATTTTACACTGTAAAATAACTAGCAAGAAGCAACAAAGAGAGGGTCCACACTCTAAAACCAGGCGTTGGGTGGTTAGTTTTAAGTAAAGCAGCCTGACCAATATACATACCGTCATGAAATGCTCTGAGCACAGCAGCATTGGGCAGTTGATATCTATAAAGATAAAATCCCTTACAGCGCTTACATAGCCTTGGTACTGCAAGTAGAAAAGGTTGTTAAATTATATTAAGGTGATTTTATGACTTTTTCCTGTCCAGGCTCTGCGATGCCTGAGGCTCTCCTAATTTCTGCTTATACCTTTTCTAACATCCCGGCTGCCTACTGCGCTTTGTGGAAAATGGCAAAATGTGAACACGGTTGTGAAGACACTCAGAGTCTGCTCCTGCCACTGCAGCTTCAAAGCCAATTAGTGCCTCTGGAAGGAGATGTGCTCCTGTTTGGTCCACTCAATATGCAAGTTTTGATACGATAAATCACACCTTAGGTTCTTCTAGCAAAAGGTTTGCTCTGTAAAGACTCCTGCTAGTCAAGGCCTGGGTTTTTTGTTTGCTTTTCTTTCTTGGCGCACAGAAGTTGTTCTGCAGTGCAAACAGATGTGACATGGCCAGGCAAGACAAACTTCCAGAACAACTGCTCTGTGCCCTAGCAAACAATAAATGAGTTAACAAACAACAGTCATAAAATATGCATACTTCATTATGGTACGTGCTTACTGATACAACAGCTCAATACAGATAGGGATGGAGACAAGCTACCTGCACAGGCTTGACGATGTGGAACTGGCCATAAAATGCATGGATTTCTTTAAAACGAAGAACAGAACAGCCACGGTCAACATTCAGACACGGGACGCCCGTGGGGGTTTTAAAAAGATATTTACAGACAAATGCGAGGCTGGAATTTCAGGTCAGCAGAGAAGCCCCGGGGCAGCCAAGGGCTGTGCTCTGAGCCACGGGCTGTGAGCGCTGCAGGTGGGAGCCAGGGGCTTCACCACGGCCTTCACCGGGCTCAGGTACGGCCCCCGGGAGCTCTCCCAGCACTGGGCTGCCACCTGAAAGCCAACAAAAACACCACCTCGACGACATCGTGACGCGCCGCTACGTTACATCTGTGGTTAAAGCCTGACAAGTATAAAAAAGTTACGTACAGACAGGGGTATCTATGAGAGATCAGCCGGCATCCATCAGCAAGAGGACTGGTCTGTCTCGGATCGACAAACTTGTACATCACCTACCGTCCTGGGATAGTTAGAACAAACAGCTTAGAAAAATAAGTAGAGTATCTGCAATTCTCTAAAGTAGAACTTCACGTTTAGTTTTCCTGAGGTATTTGCTTCACCGAACAAGCCACACCGAGAGCGCATGGGGCAGGGGCACGTGCGGGGGGACCCAAGAAGCCGGGCAGGTCTGTCCCCTGGCCAGCAACACCCTACCAGCTGAAATGCACAGCACAAAGGGCTCCGTATCCGTGTTGGCTCCAACCAGGCTGCGGCCTTCCTCCCGCCATATTACATATTGACCTGGGCTCAGCTGCTGCTGTCAGCAATCGGCACAGCAGTGGGGCATGAGGAAAGCGAGGCCTCAAGGCCTGCGCTCTGCTCAGCACGCGGCACAGCAGCGGGGAAGCAGCACAGCAGAGCTGGCTGGTTACACACAACTCTTGTTGGCCTCCTTTTCATTTCACAGGGGTGGTCTACATCGGTTCCCACTTGTCTGAGCTTCACTTCTCATCAAGGACGCAGACAAAAAAAGATCTGAAAGGTTTTAGCCCATTTCTAGGTTAAGAAGAAACAAAAGCAACACCACAACTTAATCAAGGATAATAAATAATTAATCTGCTGGAGAAGTAGTAACAAATACTGGTCCAACTCAGCAATAGCAAGGCAACGACCAAGACAAGAAGCATCTAGCTGCAACGTTAAAGCTGTGGAGGTTTTGTTTGTTTTGCTTTTTTTTCCTTTTTCTTAAAGTGACACATTTAAAGAAAAAAAAAAAAGAACAGATCTTCACAGCAAAGATGCATCCAACAACCAGTTGCTATACACAGGCGAGCCAAGAAGGATTTGTTCAAACTTTTTCCCTTATGATATTATATTGATATTTAATAGGAAAATAAAATACATAGACTTCTTGTCATTTGTATGCATTCATTTGCAAATCTTCTTACAAAAGAGGACCAAGCACAGAAGTTGGCATTCACAAAGTCTATGCCATTATTTTGTGTTAAAATTGGTATCATCTATACATTATCTTACAGTATTAACATCTATTTGTTTTTGTGTGTTTGTTGTTCTACCCATTGGGTAGGATATGTGCATAATATATTCAAGTTATACACAGCACCATAAAAAACAAAAACAAAAACAAAAACCCACCTAACAAAATTGGAAAGAAAAAGACAGACAACCAAAAAAGCACCATTTTCAGTGAGGCACAACAAAGGTGGGAGCGTGAGGCCTGACCCAACGCCCCCTGGAGTCAGCAAGAGTCCTCCCACCAACGGCACTGGGCACTGAGTCAGGCCCTCAAGTGCAAGGGGATCCCATCTGCTCAGACCTGAACATGAGGCACCTTAGTTGCTTACAAACTACCAACATGCAAACCTCCTCAAAATTATACCTAGCACGTACAACAATAACTCATTAATAACCCTACCAGAGCAGACAGACAAGCACAAACCAAAGAGAGAAAGGAAGAAGAGACAGTTTCATCACCCACAAGATCCTACACATCCCACACCATCTCAGAAAGCTCACGTACCAAACCGGGTAAAATAGCAGCAGCAGCAGCAGTAATACAGCAAAGAAATGACAGAGTCATCTCCAGCAGTGAATCACACAGAGTGGCTGTTGGGGTGAAGGGGAACTTTCTAGGATATGAGTTTGTTTCTGTCAACCAACACAGAAATAAGCTCTGCTGGTGCTGAAGCAGAACCAGTGCCACCCAGTTGCTTTTGCTCAGCCTGCAAACAGGGAGAAAACAGCAAGGCAGAAGGAAAAGCTGGGAGAGTTTGCAATAAGATTCATTACGAGATTATGCTGTTTTTCCTTTGAAAGCAGCATGGCCCTGAAATGCATTTAATGCCAATAGTTGTGACTCTTTCAAGGGAACACCAGCAGCCTCCTCACCCGCACGGTAAAGGACTTCATCCAAACAGAGCTGCCACTGACAAGGAAAGAATTTGCTGGGAAGAGACAATGGGCTCCAGCACTGCTCATGGAGGCTGAATTTTGTGATGCAGCTCCTGCTAATCCCCAAGTGGAGCCACACCAATAAAATGACATTTTTGCTGGTGCGAGTGTGCCCAGTGGGGCTTTTGCCAGCACAGCAACAACAAGCAGAGGTGGGGCAGAAGGTAACTTGCACCCCTGACCGATGAACCAAGACTGGCAAACTATTAAATATAAAAAAATCTTACCAACCAACCTTTTCAGCTTGGCCATTCTCAAAATTTTGAGCTTCAGTTTACTAATACAAAATAGAGGAAATACAGAGAGCTTGGCCAGGAAACCTCTGTACATCCAACATAGCCTCACAAAGGATTTTTCCATGTTCCAAGGAACCTCAACAGGTCTCAAAAAATTCAGCATGAGTGGTCTTATCCAGCTATTTAAGACAAGGGGTAGGTTAGAAGAGCAGTTATAGCCACGCTGGTTGGCAAGCAGGCAGCTCAGGCCATTGATGCATAATTCAATTCTTCCTAACGCCATTTATCTAAAAAGCAAAGATGTAATCAAAAGCCAACCTTCATCCAAATCCAGTAATATATCCCTTCCTAGCATCAGCAAGGTTTGAAATAACATGCTTCTGAGATTTAAAGAATACATGAATTGCATTTGCTTTGCATAAATCATCACATGAGGTCTACATTAGCGCTGTCCCAAAAGCATGAGGATTTTTCAAAGCCCAGCCTGAAAACGGGGAGCAGTTGGATGGAAGATGGACTAGCATTCCTGGGCATGGGCAAGGATCCACTCAGTAAAACTTCCCAACTGACAAAAACAGTGCACAACAGTCACAGGAGCAAGAAACAAATACTCCTCATGCCTCCCACTGTTTGTGACAAACGATCTGTCATCGCTCCTGGGAGCACGATGCCAGTTAGCATTTCTGGGAGGTGATTATGGAATAGTAATTGATACATACAGAATGGATGAACAGGTCACAGGCACAATCTTGCATGCAGGTATGTATACACACACATGCACATCAACACAACTCAATGGTAATGATCAGAGAGAGCTGGGGGACAATCATAAATATCTTCAAATGTACCAGCAAGCGTACAGTTTAACCTTGGAAAAGAAAACAAAACCCCCCAAAAAACCACAGAGAACAATTTTAGAACATCAATTTCCACCTGCTTAAATGTGCAGGGCTTGGAGTAAGCAGAATGCTAGCAGCCCTTCTGCTCCAGAGCATCCCCATGCCCCAACACCATGGTGTCAGCCTGCAGGCCCAGCACCGCACTGCCAGGCAGGGCTGAACTCACCCAGCCACACACGGGGTGCTCTAGCACTACACGGCTTCCTCTTCCATCACAAGGAAAGCACATTCCTCCCAAAGCCTTTTCCCTACGGCTGAACATCCTGCACATCCAGCCCTGCAGGACCACAGGAAAGCAAACAGATGTATTTAGCACCAAGAAGGGATCCATGCCAAGCCGCTAAAGGGAAGAACTAGTCTTTGTGGTAGACAGAGGAGAGGTCATGATGCTTTAATTTGTAATAAAAAAAA